TTCGAACCCCAGTTCAGGTACCCTTTTTGGACCCTTTTTCAAATTTCAAATTTCACAGCACTGCACTGTGTACGATAAAATATTGAAAAATCGCCTAATACGGGAGCTCACCAGAGCCAGGGCCCATCTTTTTTAGCCTGCACTGTAACAGTACATACATTACCTTCTGTAAACCAGGTCAAAACATCCCCCGTGGCCAGTTACCTCAGCAGAAAAGGTCTGAACGATGTTTTTTTGTCGGGATCACATGATTGGCAGCTTCTTTCAGTTCTGGACAAGAGGCTAGTATTCCCACACTTTATTTCACTTACCACGTGTCGTCCAGACATAGTTCTCTTCTCGAAGAAATTGAGAAGGATGCTTTGGCTGGAACTCACGGTGTGTAGCGAAGACCGCATCCTCCAGTATAGGGAGAAGAAGCTGTCACGGTATCGCCACCTCAAACAGGAGTGTAGGAAGAATGGCTGGGAAGTCGAGGCCCTTACAGCGGAGGTGGGGGCTAGAGGAGCCATTTCCAGCAGCCTGGACGGTTTGGCACGAGCATTGGGCTGTTGTAAGGAAAAACAGCGCCAATTAAGAAGAAACTGCAGAAACGCAGCACTAAATTCCAGCTACGTTATCTGGCTGAGGTGACGTGAGAAGGCTTGGCGCGACTGACCACTTTTTTAAAAGCCCCCGAGAGGCAGTTTGTTGGCGCTTGGTTGGCGGACAGCCACCCAGCGAGGATAGTTGGGTACCCTTCAAATCTTAGTTTTAACTCGCCTCACCGGCTTCTAAAGGGCCGGGTGGATGTTCGCCAACCAAGTCGAGCCTTCGTTCGGTTTTTTTCTTGTCTCCTTGCTTGTGCTGCGCTGCGCTGGAGCGAGTCTATCTGTAGATGCTTTCGCCGCATAGAGCTACTGTTGCACAAAGCCGCAACACTGCGCGCTGCTATTCACTGTATGCTTTCGCTGCACCTAGCTGCTGTTTATCTGCACGACGCCACAACACAACTTCACTACAACAGCCTCGTTCACAACAAGAGTCTCGTCCATATTGCACTACGCTGAGTACTGGCCTGCTCCCGCTCTGAAGAGCTTTTTAGCCTTCACCGTTTTTGCTCAAACCCAGGCATTGGCCCACAGTAGGGGTGAAACGGTTCCAGGTTTTTCATGTTCGGGTACCCGAATGCCAGCATTGTTTCCCACAGTGGCATCCGCTTCCCTTTTTTTCTTTTCTTTTTCTACTTTTGCTTTCTCCGTCACTTCCTAAAAAAACAGCCGAGACGGTTTTTTACCCACCAGTTTTTTTGGTGCGAATTACTTTCCTCTTTTTTTGTGCACAACAACATCTCTGGTGTCGCCTGCCGTGTCTTCGTTCTTGTGCTCCCCACTATGTTCTACTGTTGTGCAAACCCTCTCTCTTGTCTGTCTCATTTTGCCCTGAGATATTTGATACAGTCATAGTGATAATATCATTATGACGTTCATCATTAATTTTACTCCCTCGTCACTGGACAGTTCTGTCTGTTTGGTTTTACTGTATTCAACTAAAGAAAACATTAACATTGAATAGTATTATTTGTTTGAAGTTGTAGTCACTTACCTTCTGTCAATTGTCCAGTTCTCCCTTTGCGTCTTCCTTTAGTCCCGTCGCCCTCTTATGTCGTCATAGCTGCTGCCTGAAACGTGCATTCCAAACTTGATCCCGTTGACATATTCAAAAGCAGCCACCAAGTTGCGTTTGTTATGTCCGGTCGTTTGAAAAATGGCATTTTTGGAAAATATTGAAACTCTTTAAAGGGGCACTCCGGCTTCATTTTCGACGCCGAGTTTTCGATGCCAAGACGAAGGTAGGTGAAAGAGAAGACCCCTCGAACAAGAACGAGTCTCCAGAAGCGATCGAGTCGAGCAGGAAGACGACTTTTGAATTTCGGCCGAGCGAGCGCTGATGACGTAATGAGGGATTAGCTTGCCAGTGGAAATGCATCTGCGCACATACATTTCACACACTTTTTGGCCAATTTTCAATCGAAGAAGAGGTTGTTTGCTATGTTCTCCCAACGCCGTGAGCGATCCCGTCTTCTATACCCTTCCAGGTACCCTGAAGGTCCTCCAGAGGAGAATTTATCTCCATCAAAGCGTTGTTGATCCGCTAAATTCGTCTCGAGACATATTCACCCAGTGCAGTGCTGATAAATGTAGAATGTTGAATCTGTGATAATTGTCGACGATGGAGAGAGAGGCTGATAGCCGCTGTCGCAGGGAGAGTGAAGCTGCTGGAAGTAACAACAGGGAGCCCGTTTGTATCACCTGAACAACCAGACTTCAAAGCAGCTTGACCAAATCGGAGGGTGCCTCGTTGCTTATCGTGAATATTACACCGACATGAATTACTACAAGTATACTGGTGAGTTTTTATCTTGTTTTGTTCGTATGCTAGTACCCTGGCCTGGAGTTCTCGTTAGCAAATTCCTATTCCCTGGCGTTTTCTAAACATTCCGTGTAGGACTGAATACGTGATCAAGTATTCCGATTTGGGTAGATGTGGAATTTGGACATGTATTTTATTAAAAAAATTATTTTCCAAATAGAGCGTTTGTAGAGAAATGGTTGCCCAAATACAACAAAATTTATTCTGCAGTTCTACAACTAACTTGTACTGAAATCCAGTCGAAGTAAAGATGATTCTTCATGACAGTTGGGGTCAATGAAATCTGATCCAGGCAAAACGAATGGTGACGCCTGCCACCCCGAGAACGAATGCCAATTTGGTGGGGGATACCAAAGTACTCGAAAGTAGTGCGTGTTTCAATGTGGCATGGAAGTTTTATATGATCTCTGGTCAATGCAACATACGATAGCCATCATGAATTGCAGGCCTCGAACGCAACTCCGACCCGAATTGGCAGTTCCCTAAGTTAGATGCTTTATAATTCCATGGCCCCAGCTGTAGTTATAGAGGGTTTTTTGCACATTATTCTTATAGTCGATAGGTTTATACTGATGGCCACAAACAACGGCAGTTCAAACTTCACTGATGTGTTCATGAGCTGAGAGATTTCTCTGCACTATTTCTGTTGTGCACACAGGTCTGTCCAATATGCATTGACCGTATTGGGTATGGTACCTGCTCTGAGAAGGGAATCGCTGGAGCCACAGTCCAACTATACATTCAAGAAACAGAGAGGAGCCATCTTTGCAAGCTGATACCTGATGTGTACCGACAGAATTCTCACGAGATAGCTTACAGACTACGCCTGGTGTATACTTCATAGTACTCCTTCGACTACTGTCTAGAATCAAGTCGACTGAAGCAAGTTCAAACAACTCTGGCTTCAAACGAGCCGTCGATTAGACAAACAAAACATTCTCTCATATACTAGAGCACTCTGACAACTCACGACCTATTCCTAACGATTGCCACCGCTTATAAATATGTAGAGTACTGATTGGAATGTGCTCACAATCTCAACAATCCAGTGCTATAATTATTTGAACTATGTGTTCCTTCCATAAATGTTGTATCCACATATAATCCACAGTGCTGCAAAGTTTCAGAGTTCTCAGGGTATCAAACAAAATTATTTCAAATACAGTGAAATAGTTCGTGGACATTATAGCGTAACTTGTAGTTCCCTGGTCCTTTTCTTTGCTATAAATTCATCCTTTGCTATAAATTCATATGTTGAGAGAAGTGAACATATTTTTACTAAAAAAACAACAGCCACTGAAGAGGATAGCATTAGCAATAGCCTTGGGTGAATTTCCTGCAGGTACACGTTGTTGGTAGGACAACTGGTCGGTCTCCATATCGTCAAGTTCAGAAATCACCTGTACTACACATCTTGTAGAAGGGGCTGATCGAAAAATTTTCTGATCATAAAATTCACTAAACTGAGGGCGAGACAAATAGTCAGTACTCCCCGATTCCGTCTAGCTGCTTTGATCAAGTGATGCTAACAAGCAGCTTCACTTTCCCTGCGACAGCGGCTATCAACCTTTCTGTCCATCGTCGACAATTATCACAGATTCAACATTCTACATTTGTCAGCACTGCACTGGGTGAATATGTCTCGAGACGAATTTAGCGGATCAACAACGCTTTGATGGAGATAAATTCTCCTCTGGAGGACCTTCAGGGTACCTGGAAGGGTATAGAAGACGGGATCGCTCACGACGTTGAGAGAACATAGAAAACAACCTCCTCTTCGATTGAAAATTGGCCAAAAAGTATGTGAAATGTATGTGCGCAGATGCATTTCCACTGGCAAGCTAATCCCTCATTACGTCATCAACTTTCACCAACCTTCGTCTTGGCATCGAAAACTCGGCGTCGAAAATGAAGCCGGAGTGCCCCTTTAAAGGCTATAATCATTAGATCGAATGAGCAAACGAGTAATCGGTATACAACATGTTGCGATCGTTTCAGCCCTTTGAGTCAATACCTATCAGTCCCCCGTGTGCGTGTGCACTTGTGTGTGTGTATGTATTTGTGCATATGTGTGTGTGTGTGTATGTGTGTGTGAGTGTATGTGTGTGTGGGTGTGTATGTGTGTGTGTGTGTATGTGTATGTGTATATATATGTGTGTGTGTGTGTATGTATGTGTGTGTGTGTGTGTGTGTGTGTGTGGGTATGTGTGTGAGTGTGCGTGTGTATGTGTGAGTGTGTGTAAGTGTATGTGTATGTGCATGTTTGTCTGTGTGTGTGTAATTCTAGCACCAGTTGCTATGTCTAACGTAGCTGTTCGCTATCATTGCTTCTGCGATGGGCAGGTCTGAGGTCTGAGGTCTGTGTGTGTGTGTGTTTGTGTTTACGTATGTGTTTTTGGATGTGTGTGTGCACGTGTATGTGTGTATGTGTGTGTGTGTGTGTGTATGTGTATGTGTGTGTGTGTTTGTGTGCGTGTGTGTGTGTGTGTGCGTGCGTGCGTGCGTGCGTGTGTGTGTGTGCATCAACATGTGTATGTATGTGGGTATGTGTGTACATGTCTTGTCTTTAATTTTGCTGCTACTTCCAGTTTGGTAGCACACCATTACATCTTGCAGCAACGTATGGTCATGTTTCTGTAGTAGAATGTCTTCTCACTTCTGGACATTCGCTGGAACCAAAGGATGATGTAAGTCATAATTATTATCCGTGATGCATTTTTGTTTGTATATGAGTAGAAAGAAGAATTACGCAGGTGAATAAATTCAGTGCGTATGGACAATGCCTGTGGGTCTGTTCTACGCTAGAAATTCAAAATTGGCAATTTTTTTATGTCCACAAAAAAGTTTCGTGTGATTCAAATATGCTATAATACTAAGTGGTAGCACAAACTTCAGGCTGTTCATCATCATTAAGAAAATTAATGTTTTTTACGAGTAAACGTCCGTGCTTTCTCATTGTAAATGTGACGTTCCTTCTCCCGTACATTGTCTCCTTCCTCATCAACAAGGGGATATAGCGGCACGAGCAAACGAGAGCAAACGAGAGCAAGAACAATGAATTATGGATATGCATAATGTATATTGGTCATGCATTTATCACCGTTGTTTTTAGCTATTCTACTTTGACCCGGTTTTATCACCTCATTGCTGTACATAATTCATTGTTTTTTTTTGGTACGGATCCTTATGTAGTCTCCCGAGAGAATGACCAGAGCTTGTCCCGAAAGTGCGTGCTCTGTCTGAAGCGAAAGTCCTTCTCTGCACACTTGTGTTCTATGGCGTCGCGCAGAAGGCGAAGGCAGTACTGGTGTCTTCTTCTTTGGCAAACTTGCTTGTGCCTGGAATACCTTGGCTGTTGGGTGCACTGGGTTATAAATCGCGGAATCAAATCCCTTCCGGCATTGTAGCAGAAATGACAACTGACACTCGCTCCTTTGCAACTTCCATGCCCATTGCACATAGCGCCACAGTGCCTCGCTCCGGTAAGAGGAGAACCACGAACGAAGTAGCGGTGAGGCATCCTGCTGCTTCAATATGAAGTGGAAGTCTGCCCAGGAGCAGTTATATACACTAATTTGGTGTTCTTAGGTGTTGATAATATTTCTATGACTACACATGTTACCTCAGTGCTAGGAATTAAGACCCGGGAAAACACTGACATGGTCACATTCGTCTATTTCTTGCGAGAAACCTGTTCAGACATTTTCCAAGTTATCTGGTGACATCTGCGCTGTGCTAACTTGTTACCTATCCCCAGCATATTAGTCAGTGAAAACTTGGGATCTTTCATTAGTTTTAGACATGTCATATTCCTAGCACTGAGGTAACATGTGTAGTTATAGAAATATTATCAACACCTAAGAACACCAAATTAGTGTATATAACTGCTCCTGGCCAGACATCCACTTCATATTGCATCCTGATGATGGCAATTTGCCGAAACGTTGAAAATGATTTTTTGAAATGAAATGTGTTGTGAATTTGCAGTGCCCAGGGAATGAGCATGTGTGCTCACCAATTCTCTTCGAGTTATGAAGCTGCAGGATGCCTCACGGTTACTTCGTTCAACAGCCTAGACAACACTATTGAGTTCCTTGCGTCACCTCAAAAGTACTTATAAGTCCAATGTCTCAATGAGATTTGGTGTATGTGTTTCATGTGAAATTGCACTGAACACCATTGTGGTTCTGTAAAGCAACCGGCTACTAGATTGGAGATCTTTGGTATGTTATACACCTGCAAAATGTTACACTTTCCAGTGGCGGGTAAGATAGTTGGACAGCACAATCAGTCATGTCCTTGTGCGTAACCCGTACAGTAATGGTGGTTTGTGTAAATCTGCACGAAGAAGTCCCAGCCAAACTTGGTTGGTTCACTTTTAAGTGACGTACTTTCTTGTCCTGGACAAAAACAATCTACCAACCCACATGGGGAGAAAACTGGTTAATGGCATCGATGCGACGTTTTTTTTGTTCATTGAAAGCATATGTTCTAAGATTATGGATTGGCTCTCAGTGGCAGCAGAGGGTTGGGCGTATTTTCGAGTCTATTTGTAAATTCTTACCCTATACGTCACACCCTCAAACTTATCCCAGACAATAACGACCTTTTTGGGAGACAGTATGCTGCTTTGAGTAACTTGTATTGTAATGCAAATGTTCAACAAGCTTGAAAGCAACGCCACACTGCTGCCGGCAACCAGCTCGGGAATCCCCGCAATACACTTACAAAAGTTGTGAAGTGAAATACCAAGCTATGGACAGCAGCTGGTTAATGAGGAGCCATAGCTGACTTGTAATGAGCAGGAACGAGTGAGGCCAATGCCGGCTAAGAGGAGCAGAGCTAAATGCTCCAATCTACCTAGATTACTCATTGAAGAACATACCTCTACCAAGCGAGCAACAATACAAATTGAAGCTGGTGGAGATGACAGAGAAACTAATCAAGAGAATGCGCTGGAAGGCCTTGTTCTTCCTCAAGGGTGACCAACCTCAACATCAGGATGAAAACAGTAACCACGGATTCAAGACGAGGACATGCCCACCCCAAGTGGATGACATGAAAAAGTTCGAGGAAGACCTGTGGTCCCTGGTCGAGAACGTTAGATTCCGCAGGGTGAGCGACGAGCTCCAGCGCAAACTCCAAGATGACCGGACCAGGATCAAATCATCACAGAACATACTCGCCCCTGCAGATAAGACGAGGAACATCTACGAAGTCAGCCCTGAGCTGTACACCTAACTACTGAACGACAACGTCACGAAGCACTACAAGCATGCCCCTGACAACGCCCAAAACGACATCAACGAAGAAGCAAAAGGCATCGCAGAGAGCCTCAACATCGCTAACCGAGCCGAAACCATGGCGAAGAAAAACGCGTACATAACCCTAAAAGATCACAAAACCAACTTCTCACAAAGTTTACCATGCAGACTCATCAACCCCTCAAAAAGTGAGATCGGGAAAGTCAGCCAGAATATCCTGGCGAGGATCACCCAAGAAGTACGAGACAAACTGAAACTAAACCCCCTGAAGAATACCGCTGCAGTCGTCAACTGGTTCCGAGAAATAGACAATAAAGCGGCATGCACGTTTGTCTGCTTCGACATAGTGGAATATTACCCAACAATCTCCCAAGACCTGCTGGAAGAATCCATTGCATTCGCAGCACAGCATTCCGACGTCAGCCAGCAAGATCGAGATATCATCATGCATGCGCGAAATCCTGTTTAGTAGTGATGCAGCATGGATGAAAAAGGACGGAAGAGGCCTATTTGACGTCACAATGGGTTGTTTTGACGGAGCAGAGACATGCGAGCTAGTGGGAACTTACGCACTGTCAAAGCTAGCTGATAAGTTCGACAGTGATAACATCGGACTCTACCGCGACGATGGGTTGGCGGTCTTGAGAGATGCGACAGGCAGTGCAGCAGACAGAGCAAGAAAGGAGATATGCCGTATCTTTAATGATCTTGAGCTGAAAATTACCATCGATGCCGGCATGAAGGTCGTAAACAGCCTCGACGTAACACTTAATCTAGCCGACAGGACCTACCGCCCCTACCGAAAACCAAATGAAACGCCGATGTACGTCCACACACTATCCAACCACCCGCCAACCATCATCCAACAAATACCCAAGTCTATCAGCAGACGATTGACAGATATTTCGTCCAACAGAGACATCTTCAAGGAGGCGGCACCTCTGTACAACAGTGCGCTCAAGGCCAGCGGTTACGCTGAGCAGATCGTGTACATGGAGGAGAGAGAAAAAGATTAAGAGAAAAAGAAGAAAACCGCAGACGAAAGATCATCACAATCCTCCGTTCAGCAAAACAGTAGCCACGAATGTCGCGCAAAGATTCTTGCACCTCGTCGAGAAGCATTTCCCACCTCGCTCACGCCTAAACAAAATATTCAACAGTAACACAGTAAAAGTAAGTTACAGCTGCATGCAGAACATGTCTGGTGTACTAAAGGCGCACAACAATTCGGTCTTGCGGAAGAAGCAGAAAGATGATCAACAGAGAACAGAGAAAAGATGCAACTGCAGGGATAAAGTTAACTGCCCCATGCATGGAAACTGCCAGATCCAGTCAATCGTATACAAGGCCAGCGTGACAGAAACCGGAAAAGACGAACGAAATGAGCACCTCGGCCTAACGGAAATGACCTTCAAGAAGCGATACGACGGACACATGACGTCAATGAGGCATGAGCGAATGGACAAGAGTACCGAGTTGTCGAAGCTCATCTGGGACATGAAGCGCAAGAATGCCGGGTACAGCATCAGTTGGTCAGTTGTCGCCCAAACACCAGCATACTCCAATGCCACCAAGCACTGCCCTCTTTGTCTGCGTGAGAAGCTGGAAATCTTGCATGCTGACAGAAGGGTGAACATCAACAAGCGATCGGAGCTAGTGGCCAAGTGCAGACATGAGAACAAATTCTACCTATCTAACTTCACACCTCCAGTAACATAAACCAGGATTACACCTGATGTCTGGCACTGATCTTGCAAGTACATGCATAGAATCACCGCTTGACCATATTTGCGCTTAAATTCTCTGATTCCACTAGCACCTTACCAAACTATATCAAGAACATTCATTGAGTTTTTTGTAATCATTGCTGTCTGATGATCGCCATAGGCGTGAAACTCGGAGTCACAGCCAACCCAAGCTCCGTATTCTATTCCTTTGGTATGAAGCTCTGCACCCCGGTGCATTGAGCGCTCTTTCGAGGACCACACCCAACTTTCCGTGTGTGCTCCAATCTACCGTATGGAAGATGATGTGATGTGAGAAATGAGGGGTGAACACCTAGCATGAGGTAGAAGCAAACAGTTATGTTGACGTTGCATGAATGGCATACGATAAAAAAGAAAGTGAAAGTAAGTAGTCAGTCACATGCAAGAACAATGTCATTATGGTTGGTATTGTTGTGAACTACCCCGTCTACACTGGCCAACATGCAACACTCGATCACAGCCCACTCGACATTGGACTAGTTACTTGCTTTTGTACAAGAAGGACTAAAACTAAAAGAGCTAGAGAAGAAGGATAAAGGCTTGCGCACCAAGATGACACGTACAAAATGGCGACCTACGTCATCGTGTGCACGCACAAGAGTACTGGAAAATGGAATACTGTCACGAACACAGTGCGAATTAATAATACAAAGCTCA